ATTCATATCTAAAAATAGCTTTAAATATACGAAAGCACGTGACTTTCTTCACTAATATTTTGCTGAAGTACAAACATTTTTATTCTTCACTAAGCAATATTCTAAAGGAGCAATTTTACTTAAATTTTTTTTACGTTGTTTCACGTTTTGTTTTCCATTTTAAGGGATGAATTGGTCGAACTGATCAAAATTACAAATCAAATAAACTGGATGACCTCTCTTGCCGGGTGATCTGTGTACCTCTTCGTTCAACTGATGTAATACTGCAATTATTCCTTCTTTCAGAGCAGATTTGGGATGAAGACTGAAGCATTCATGTCTTTTCTTGATTTGGTGTGATCACTCCACTCATCAGGTTAGATATATTTGTATGTGTATGTTAAATCAATACAATGATATATAATTGCTCGTGTACCTACTGTAAAAAATTTAGTAAGATTTGTTATTTAAAGGGTAAGTTACATATATTGTGAATCTTCTTTTATACAAAAACTTACCATTGGTTGTACTAAATTTACTATCATAATTTTGTCCCTAATGAAACCTATAATATATAGTAAATCAAAAACCTGCACATGGCATCACGTAAGGTACTTATGGTAACTCTTCATCACTTTAGAATTTTCCTTGAAGTAGCTCTAAATATCAAACAAAAAAATCTAAAAACATAAGGAAATGTTTTCTTTTCTTTTGCAGTAAGTACACAATTTTCAAGGTTTTGGAAATTGAATATGGATGCGAGGTTTAGAGAGGGGATAGCTTCAGGTTTGGTATTACTCATGGAATTAACGGAGAATTTCTATTTGCTTTTTATACAGAGCGTGGTGAATTATATGTTTTATCTACTGAATCTTCGGCTCTGTATTTTGGTTTGCAAGAATGTCTACGGCACAGGATTTTTCCATTGCTTGTTGAAGTGGATTCTCAAGTTTTACTGCGTATTCTTCAAACTTCTAAAAAGGTGAGGTGGTCTTTGTGTATAACTATTGACATTGAGAGGATTTTGTTATTTTTGGGGCAACTTTCAAGCAAGGTTTTCCACGTTTATCAAGAAATTAATTCTGCTGTGGATTTTTTGGCCTCTTTGCATGGTTTTTCACTCATCATTTTTAATAATATTGCAGATTTATCGAGTCAATGTAGGGCTATTTTACAATTAGATGGGCAAGGTTTTGCTTATATTCGTACTTCCTTTGTAAGGGAGTAAGTGCTCCTCGTTTATTGCTTTATTGCTTGGCATGTAATGGAGGTAAAGATGTATGTCCCCCCTCTATGTTTACTTGTTTTTCTATGTTTCAATAAATTTGAGTTAGCATCCCACCCCCATATACAAAATTTGCCAAAAAAAGTACAAATTTTTCAGGTGGACAGGGAAGGGGTTTTAGAGTTTCCCGCTATCCTTATACGTCTTCATTCAACTGATGTAGCAATATAACTGTTCCACCCTCTAGAGAGATTAATTACAAGCAAAATAAAAATCTCAAGAATCAGACACAAGAATCTTGATCATGTGCAGGTTCAGTGTCCTTGGACAGTTATACTATTAACCAAGGGGACCAGAAATTGGTAGATGCTCCAAGTTAACTAATAAGAATGCCATGAAGTTGTAAAAAAAAAAAAAAAAAATGCACCACACTGGTACAGATCTACCAATAAAAATGAGGGACAAATACCATAACTTTCTCCTCGATAGAGAGATTCCTCGATGAGATACCGCAGTAAGTTGTCTTCATTTGCCACAACAGAAGTTGCCGGGAAACTCTGGTCACAATTTTTTATTTACTGCTGCACCATTTCTCATGTGAATGAGATAGCATTTTGCAACATTTTCCCAATACAATATGTATATAGATACAAAAGAGTCTAGTTGGCAGTATTCACTACTGTCAGATCATGACAGAGTTGTACATCTTGAACTGAGTTTACAGAAGAGCTAATTAAACCAGATAGAAATCTAAAATCAGGAGTGAAAAGAAGATGCCATGATGGAGATCTCCTCCAGCAGTGGCATTAGTTGCTTTGATTTTAGTAGCGCGTTATGGTTTCGCTTTGCTTTGGATTATCTGGACTGGCTTGAGAGGTTCTCTAGTTTGTGGGAGGATAAAATCAAGTTCCTGGAGATGGAGGTTAGACTATTGGTAGTCTTTTTTGTTTATGCCAATTCGTAGGAAGAGGAGGAACCAAGAAACACTTTTGATGCATGCATATGAGGAGGACAGGGGCAAGGATAAGACTAACAAAGTTTGAGATGGATTATTATTTGCTTCAGAAATTAAGACTTGGTAACCAGCATAATTCATGATCTACACTCTTCTCATCTCATGTGTAATCATTCTTGTGATCCAAATACCGATATCCTGGAAAATTTTCCTGTTATTTTATCTAGGCTCATTTTTGAATGCAAATCCAATCTCGATCACCTAACTATTGTTGACATTTTCAACTCTCAAGTAAGCTGGACATTAATTTTCTTACAACATCATATTCAACATGATGTTGAAGCCATTTGCTCTGTGCTTGTTAAGCAAGACTGATTACTAGTCTTTAGCAAAACTAAAAAATAAAAAGTAGAAAGGCTATGCTAATTCCAGCCACGCAAAGAAAAGGAAAAAAAGCCTTAATTATTTCAATAGACCAAAAACTTTTCAAAACCCACGGTTAAAAGCATTAAACCCCTTTGAATTTTATCTTCAGTTGCTTTTTATCCCCTCAATTCAATAAATAGGCACTTTGTCCCCCTATTTTATGTTTTAGGACAAAAGTATTAATTCCTTCTATATTAATTGTTATTTTATTTCTTTTTCTCCTTTTTTGCCTTTTTCTACTTGTTCATTTTCTCTATATTTTTTTAAAACTTTTCTCCCATCTCTCATATGATCAACTACTTTCTTCTCTTTACTATGATTATCCATATATTAATTTTAATTTTCTTAAGCTTCATCTTTGTTTATTTCTATCTTTTTTACTTTTGTTATTTGAAGTAATATTATCATAAAGTCTATGCTATAACAAAGTATATGTTATCTATGAATATAAACTATTTCATATATTTCTTAAATCAATACATATAGAATTTAGAATAAATTATTTTTTAATAACAATAGTAACAAATTAAAAAATCATAATAAAATAACTGTTAATCAACTATACATAAAAAAGAAGTAAATAAACATTTAGATTTTTGGGATATATTTTTAAATATTAAGCAATTTAAAGATCTAGTTCACTAATAATTTTTTAAATAGTCAAATTGCTAGCAGTATACCCTTTTGATTATGGCAAGCATATGCTACGTCTTTTATGCCATACAGTTTGTTTTGAATGTTCTAATAGTGTAAATAAATAAAACAAGATTGAAATTATAAGTAAAAGACAATTACATTTTTATAATAAGCACACAAATTAATAATACTAATAGGAAAGTGAAATAAATAGTGACATAAAAGCAGTGAAAAAAAGGAAAATGGAAAAAAAAGAAAAAAATAAAAGAAAGTAGCAAAAAAGGAAAAATAAGGGATTGAATAACAAAAAAAAACAAAATAAATTAGTAAGTGTAATTTTGTTTTAAAATATCAAATATGAGGGCAAAGCGCTTATTTAATGAGTTCAAGGGGTAAAACGCAACTAAGGGTAAAGTTCAGTGGGGTTTAATGCATTTAACCAAAAAAAAAAAAAAAAAAAAAAAAAGTACCAAAACATATTGCTACTCATGTACACAAGAGCTACTTGTTACTAATCTAGCAAAATTCAACAAGCAAAAAAAAAAAAAAAGGTTATTAATGTAAAAAAGGTCAATAATCCAAACGACAAGAAGTATCATGCACAATTGCAATAAAAGAAGATAGAAATGTTACAAATACTGTGAAGCCACTAAAATTTCTAAGTCTTTCATTATTATTTATCCTTATTTCTTATCTTGACAGTTTCGTGAGTACTTAACATACTTATAAGTAAAACAAAAAAAAAAAATACTTACAAGTGATGACTGAGGGAATTATATATATGTCTGTAACTATCAGTACGTGATGCTATTATAATCCATTGGAAAAAAATAAAAGAAAAAAATCATGGTGGAGATCTTCTCAATTGAAATTTGTGTTTTCTAACTAAAAAATTGAAAAAGAAAAACTTTAAAATTGTGAAGGCCCCGCCCAACTAGCACTAATTATTATTGAGGCCCCGCCCAACTAAGATCTTCTTCACAGAACCATCATTGTTTATAGGGATGGCGGTCACCCACCCCGCAAGGGGCTAATGGGGAGGGGGTTGGGGCGGGGGAGTGTCGCCCCGCCCTATACCCCGCTTTAAAAAAATAAATATATAATATATATATGTATATAATTATATATATAATATATAATTTAATTAGTTACAAACTTATGATAATGATATTATTAGTTATATGTATTATATAATGTCTATTAGTATATATAATATAATTGATATTATTAATTATACTAATAATTATATATGTGCACTAATACAAATTATTAATTGGTTATACTAAATTTACTAATACATTTATACTAAATCCCTAATTACACTTAATACAATAACATTTTTTTCTTAGAAAAAGCACAAGCACAATAATAAATTAGTAATTGTATATGTGCTAAAAGTGAAAACTTGACTACTTTAGTTATATTTATTTCATCATGTTGGATTGTATTCAAATAATTTTTGTTTGATTGTTTTTATAAGTTTCAATTGTAAAATTACAATGAATAATAATTTGATGATGTGTTGATATTTTAGTACTTCATTATTTGCTAAAATTTAACTATAATAAATTTTTACACCCCCACGGGGACAGCCGTGGGAGAAGCGGGGCGGGGGCGGGGGGAATTTGTAGGCAGTGGGGCGGGGGATGGCTCCAACCCCGCCCCGTTGCCATCCCTAATTGTTTATTTGGAAAAACAAAAGGCAGCATTATTATGGGCAAGAAAAATGTAAAGCATATTCTTCTTCACAAAACCAACCTTTGATCTGTGGGCAAGAAAGTGAAGGCCTGCTATTGTGAATGAAGCTATCTCGTCTCAGACACTCAGCAGTGACTCACAAATCTGCTTGTATTGGAGTATACTTTTCGAAGAAATCCCATGAAAAATTTGCCTTTACTGTGATAAATTTGCTGAGATTCAACTACAGGAGTGGAGTAAGAGGCGGTTCTTAGGGAGGTGGCGAAACTGGTGCCTGCCAGTTGCCGGAGCTTCTGCAGTCAATTTCCTCAAATAGAGATCAACAACAGGTATTTTTAATTTCAAGGAAATTGAAAAAGGAGAAAAGAATAGAAGAATAAGTTCATAATTTATTCAATTTCCTCTGCAGTTTATATATTCTGTATGTTGAAGGAAAAATATAAAACAAGGGAATGAAAGAAAGAGCTTCAATGGAGAACAAAATCAGTTTCCTAGTTGTTTGATACTTCCTTTGTTTTTGCTGAAACTATAATCATCTCAAAACTAATAAAAAAAGTAAAAGAGCTTCAATGGTTTATCTATTCTTAATTATGTCTAGCTAAATTGAGGGAATCATTGGTTGAGTTGATTCATTTTGAAGTCAGAAAACATAATCTAATTCTGCTAATTTATATGAAATGGTAATCAAATGATGTGAGTAATAATTGTAAAAGAAATTATAGCAAAAAACTTCTAAACTTTTTACTTTTGTTGTTTTTCTTAGTTCTCCTTCTTGGTTGGAGGCTAAATACTTATATAAGCATACTTACACGGTGGTTTTTTTTAGTTTGCTTTTTATTTTTTGATAAATGGGAGATCTTGAATTCAAAATCTTCTATTTACAATTTTTCCCATCTTACTATCCAATCCAACCCTCTCCTCTCGAACTTACATTGGTGCTAATAGTTAATGATGTAATATGTTTTCTCTAAATAAATTTACTAGCTTTTAGTTATGAATTAGTATTCATTAAAAGTAGAAATTTTATAATTGAAACTCTTTAGATTTTCTTCTAGAATAAGTCAAATTACATGAGCATCCTAACGTAGCAAATTTGATGATTAAAATATACATTTTCTAATTAAAGTATCGAATAAGAATTTAGAGAAATGAAAACTTAAACTAAAGTGCCTCATGTGTTTTTTAGCTTTCTTTTTCATTTTCTTAAATAAATATTAGCTCCTCGTTTATTTGACCTAGAATTGTAGTTCTTTTGAAGAGTTTGTTTTGGACTTACGATGCCATGATTCAGCTCGCATTAAGTCAAAATACTATTTCTTTTAATATTAAATACATGCAATGATTTACTTTCAAGATTATTAAGGAGAAACTATCTGTAGTAATTCTTCCAGGTTACCAATTATTTTTTTAACAAAGTAAGATTAGGTGTTAATCATAGTGAAAGGATAGGAATTACTTTGAGTTACAATTAGGCATTGAAAATTTCTGTATTAGAAATTTGTTCAGAGAATATATTCATCTTTCTATGCCTGTATTCGGGGATGGATTTGGTACTTCCTAATTAACTTTAGACACACCACTAACATTTCTTGTTAATCAAACTGACTTGGATATCATGCCCAACAACTTAAAGCACTATCCAGTAGAGAAATTTGATAAATGTATTGCTAAATATCTACAATAATGACTTAAGGGATTTTGTAAGCAAAAGAATAGTCAATTTTAGATTACTTTAAGAAGTTCAACACCTTGATAGAGTAATAGATTAGATAAAAAAAAAAGTCAAATATAGATAATTGCATAAAAATCTCATAATACTCAAATTCTACAATCTCTCCATTACTCTGCCAAATTAACTTTGAAATGGAACTGCATTAATTTAATTGTAATGACATGCACATGCTAACTTGTTTCACATAGATTTGTCACAAAGGATAAGAAGGACATCTAAATCATCTAGTAAGGTTGATTTTTATTTTTCATAGCAAGTCTTTGTCTTCAACTCAAAATTGCACTCATGAATCCATATAGTTCTTTCTTGTTTCACCAATGATTACAGTCTTCTCCAATCAATTTCTGTAAATAAAAATTAAAAATTTTGAGAAAATGAAGTCAACATAAGAATTCCCTCTTTTCTTTTCTATAAATAACTCACAAATTTCACCCCAACTTTATTTTTTGGAAAATATACTATACCATTAATACAATGTTCATCAAATTTTAGTGATGTCTTAGAGCCCCAAACCGGTACTAGTTAGTGCACTTGTTACTGGAGAGAAGACTTTGTTTTTGATGTGATAACTTTTTCTTTTTGTTATGCTATCATTTTAATTTTTTCCTTTTTATGATGACTTAGTATTATCTTCTGAATAATTTTTCTTTTTTTTAAAGAGAAGGGTTTATTTTTTATGTTATAGTTTTTAATTTTTATTCCTTTTCATGTTGTCTTAATACCATGTGCACATCGAGTGTTCCTATAATTAAAGAGAATTTTGTTTCGTTTAAAATTTGAAGTTTTTTTTCCTTTCTTTCTTTCTTTTTTTAATGTAGCTTCACCATATTGTCCACTAATTGAAAATTGGAAGAAACTAAAGAAAAGCCTTTGTCCATTATAAAGTACCATCTCACTTGCAAAGAGTCTTGTGTATACGAATTCTTTGTGTTTTCAACCTTCTTCAGAATTTTCTTTTTTTTTTTCTTAAACTTAATTTTGAGTGAGTAGGTACATGATACACTGAATTTAGTATTTGTTAAAATTTAAAGTTTCTTTCTTTCTTTCTTTCTGCAGGTTCCCAGAGTATTCGGTCTCTCCAAATCCAAAGTAAGTGCGGAATTTCTTTTTCTTTTTTTTCGTACATTACTTTTGGTTGAAAAATATATGGCTTTTTTCCATGGGATGTACGGTTTCCGTTTAAAGCAATTTCCTCCCAACCTTATTGTACGGAAAGAAAATTAAAGATGAAATAGGAGGAAATTCCACCCTTTTGCTTGACTCAGCATTAGATAAATCAATTTTCGATACTAATTTGCTGAAGCAATTATGAATCAGAATTACTTCTCAATTTTAGGTTTACTAAATTTGCAAAATCCCCAGTAGATAACTAATGTGCAACGCATGTTAATTAAAGATACAAATTATTGTAGACTTGCTGAACCACATAGTTATAAATTCACGATCAATTTAGTAACTTGGTTCAAATTTTAGCTATTCGTTAGGGACTCAATCACTTTATTGTACCATTTCTTGGTGATTAAAACAAGAAATTTTGAAAAATACCTACATGATCTTTTCAGAGAAATTTGCAACTAATCTCCTAATGTATATCCTAATTCTCACATTAACCTTTACCCCCCTTTTTTGTAATAAACCCATTTTTCATTTGTTTTTCTTTACTACTATTGAAGTACAAAAAATTTGGCTCAAAATCTAAATTTTTGAAAATGTATATATAATATACAATATTTTTTAGCTGATGTGAGTTCTTTAATTATCCGTGTCTTTCTCATTTTATACTTGTATTCCCAATTTTGGTACTTTCTGTTAATCTATATTGTATGTTAAGAAAATCCTTGCTTTTAATTGAAGGAATTGTGTTAATCCTTGCTTTTAATTGAAGGAAAGAAATTTTGCTCATTTTTTGTGCTTAAAATATTTAGGTTTGAATGAATATTGTAATGCTACCAACGCTGGAGCCAGCTCTGGAGTTTTCACATATTCCTTTTAATCCTTAGGAAATTTTGAAAGTTTTCATTAAAATCCTTTATATCGCCCCCAAAGATTTTGACAAATTCCCTATTGCCCTTGTCTAGAATATTTTTGACCTTCATGCTTAGTTAACTGACTTATAAAATTCAACTTTTTATAAATTACTTTAGCTTTGCATATTGATCTGCTAAATGTTAATCTATTATGTCAAGCAAAATTTCTTTAAAGTTCAATCACATATACCTTTCAATTAAGTTTTGTGTTTCAATTCATTTTTACTCTGCCAAACCATATTCAAGTACTTGGTTTAATATACATATCATTTTTAAATATAACATTTAAGCTAATAAAATTTCGTATTTTTAAAGTACTTTTCATAAACATATAAAACCAAGATTTTGATGCAAATAGCAATAATGTTTTTGTACTTTCAATTTACAAAAGAAAATCTGATTGTTTTTCAGAGTTTGATACTATGATGGCACAATGAGGTTGTTCTTTTTCCGCCTTGGGATTATAATAATGAGAAAATAGAGAAATGAATAGCTATTTTAATAGTACATCAGTGTATATATTGATGTAATAATAATGTATATAGTTTACTTATTATGTTTTTTCGTGCACTTAAGTTTACTATTATTTTGTTAAGATAGTCTAATAACAGAAAAATAGAAATTTAATTAGAAATTTTTACTTTGAGTTGCCCACATTGGGATTTGATTGATGTGTTAGAGGCTCAAACTAGTGCTAGTTAATACATTTCTGGACATAAAAAAGTTAAAAGTTTGAAAGTTCACACCCTCATATATTAAATGTCCCAAACTTATACTATTCTACTTTCTTACCCCTAAATTTTTGAAGATAAAATGGGATGCCCTATTCTTTGATTAAATAGATATGAATTTTTTTAATATGAACCTTTTGTGTTCTTTCGAGTGTTATGTTTGTTAATCATGGAATGTATATATTCCATCATAATTATTGCTAGTTCCTTGTTGATTTTTATAGAGTAATTAAAATTTTATTACTAGAGGAGATTGGTTTGTCCTTTTTTTTTTCTTTTCTTTTACTCTTGTTTGTAGTTTTTATGTTTTTCCTTTACTTTTAAATTAATTTGTAGATTTTATCCTTTTATTTTGACGTATATTTTTTTGGTATTTGTAATTATAAATCTATTTCAAAAGTATTAATATTTTTGACCAACCATGAGTAGGTAAAAGTATTTTGGCTAAGAAAGGGTCCAAAATTAAACTAAAATGAGACTTGAATAGGACAAACTTAAAACTTTATGGTACAAAAAGTTCAAAAATGAGAATTTAAATTGTAAAGTGTTTAAAATTGAAATTTATAGTACAAGGTAGAAAAGTAATACTAGTTCGAGCTTGTAAAGTGGAGTTAGTCCCTTTAATAATATAGCCAAAAGCACAGATCACTATTCTAATGGTTTCAACTCAACAACCACCTAAACAGATCATTTATCCAAAAATGCAGCAAAGTGGAGTTAGTCCCTCCAATAATGAAGTTCATTTGTTGTGGTCTCCAATAGCATCTTTCTTTGATTGAACTTCAAGTAGAAGAAGGAAAAGTCTCGCAATATTTATCACTACTAAACCCCACCACACACGCCAAAACGAAAAAAATAAAGGTGTCTTTCAAGCAATGTGTATACCCAAAGAAAAAAAGGAGAGAGAGAGAGAGTTTTGACAATAACATATTACTGTTGTCATATCATACTAAGAAAGTTATGGAAATTTGAAATTTGGAATATAAATTTTTCTAATAGGCATGAGCACCAGCTACACTCCTAAATTTCATTTAATTACCAATGTAAATACACACAATCACATTTCTATCCTCAATATATAACAATTAAACTACCATTGTGTTTCATGGATTGACAGTAATTTACCTGAGGTCATCCAGATTACTTTGATAAGTGAATAAAGAACATCTCCAAATATACTTTTTAATGTTTATGCAGTACAAATCGAAATGAATTCGAGTTTAAAAATTATGATATTGATCTGAAAAAATTTACACTAATTCAAGCGTACACGAAAGAAAGAATATTCCGGGAATGCAAATATTTCCGTTCTCATAAACACATTTAAGACGCAAATACTATTATGTACCAGTTGAGAGAATTTATAAGACCAATCACCAATGTTATAAGACATCAATTTCCTGCATGTCCCATTTGTGGATGTTGTTCCGTGTTCCTATTTGGTACCGCCAGGTGATAGACCAAGACTAAAATACTATACCCGTTACCTCGCAACGCATCTTCTGTCCCACATCCTGTGCCACTCTTTGTCCCACTTTTTATTATATTGCTATTTCTCCTACATAAACATCATGTTTTAATTCTTTTTTGTTTCCTTAAGATCCAATAACTATTAATTCAATAAAAAATAAATATAACAGTTTCAAAAAAGCAATATATAATAGAAAATTAAAAAATACAGCAGAAAATTCATAAAAAATCTCATTTTTTATGCATTTTGATTTTTTGAGTTTGTTAAATTTTGTGTATTACTCAATTAATAGTTATTGGATCTTAAGGAAGCAAAAAAGAATTAAAACGTGATGTTTATGTAGGAGAAATAGCAATATAATAAAAAGTGGGACAGAGAGTGGCACAGGGTGTGGGACAGAAGATCCGTTGCGCCATTACCTCCCAAAAGGTAAAAGATAGGGGCCAAAAATAACCTATGTAATAAGTAGGCATAATCTCGTTAATTCTCAGCTAGAGAATCCTATCATTAGTTTTTACTTTTTAGTATTGGATAATCCATGTGTTTGCACTGTACATATGCAATTTGAAAACTGCCTCTACATTTTCAAGTGTTTTAAAATAAATACAATTTATACAAAAAGGAGCAACTATTTTTTGAGTTAATAGTAGAACATGATTTTCTTTTTGAAGCACAAAATCATTTTCTTGAATTGCATTCTACATTTTTTAAAACTGAATTGTACCTCTATCAACATTTATTTAGAGCTACAAGCTAGGAGCAATGTTATTGCAGGACGATTCTGGTTGTTTCTCTGATTGATTTATGCTGTGATTCAAACCAGACAATTAGTTTGAAAACTTGAAATTAATGCAGAAACCATTAAATGAATTTGAGCTTCAAATGGGGGGATCTATCTTCAATTTGGTCATAAAAAAAGCAAGCGACCAAATTGGTGCGCACTCGTAGCCACTAATAAAGGACAGATTGGTTAGTACTTTATTTTCAAGGGACACAAATGAAGACTTTGATCTTGGTCTTGGTCTTTGTTTGGCACTACTGAAGTTTTTGGGGACGTGTGATTCAATTTTGATCATTCTAATTTATGGTGATAAAGTACCAAAGGAAAGAAGTAGATTCATTAGAGAATATTAATATATTTGATTATTTTTTAAAAATATTAAAGAAAATAATAAGATAACAAAAAATTCATTAGAAGATAATGAACAAAAAGATGTTTAAATAGTCTACATGTGCACGTGATTGTAAACATGAGTAATTTATTTTGAATTAATTAATTATAAGGATATAAAAACAAATTTTCCCTTTAATTTATTAGATTAAAAAATGGATGAAGCCAATTAGAATATAACTAACTAGTAATTTACTATATATGTGTGTGCCTGTGTGTTGTGTGTGTGTAGTTTCTTGATATTTATAGATTATGACAAATAAAAAGTACAAATTAATGTAGAGTCACTACATTTAAAACAATTAATATATAACATAAATTTAAGTAAAATTCGATTATTTGACTAGGATAACTTTTGAAAAGGAAACTAATGGATTATTTTCTCAAAAATAAGAATTTGAAAAATAAAAACTAACTTTAAAAAAAATAATAGGTGTTAGTTTTGTATTTTAGAGAGTTAAATGGAAAAATAAATTTAAGGGGTAAATTGTAAACCTGACCGCGTTAGGAGGAGTTTGTGATTAATCCAACAATTAATAATGGTTGTCACACACTTTTTATGTTGGTATTTCAGCCTAAAATTGTAAAAAGACCACGTCTAACTCTTTTCAAAATCCTTTTTTTTATTCCTAACATGCCTCTTGTCATTTATCTTTTATTCCTGCTTTAAGGCATGTAAAAAATTCCGTATTTTCAAGGGACAAAAACGGTAATTTAGCCCTTGGTCTCGGCCTCAGTTATTTTACTTTTTAATTATTTCTGCAGTTCTGCTGCCCCATATCTTCTGCCAACAAGATAGTGTCCTACAATATTTACACAAAAAAAGTAGGGAAGCAAAACAGTCCAGCCTGTTGTTTGTTGGCTATTGTTAGATGAGAAAGTTTTAGATCCTGAGCTAATTTTATTCAGTGGCTAAACCAGATGGAAGTCTGAAATTAGAGGGAAGAGAAGATACCATAATGGTGATTCCCTCCTGCAGTAACTCCAGATGCCCTTGTTGCTCTAATTTTTGTTTAGATGATCATCTGCAGTCGCATCACATCTCCTCCAGCACTAGCACTAGTTGCTTTGATTTTGCTTTAGATGACTATCTGCAGTCGCATCACATCTCCTCCAGCACGGGCACTAGTTGCTTTGATCTTGTTTTAGATTTTCTCACCGAGCTTGAGAAGTGCGACCCTTTCGCGGATTTGTTCCTGGAGTACCCGAAGAAGCAGGTGAGATTATTGAAAACCATTTTTCTGTATGTCAAAAATTGTAGGAGGAAGGGGAACCACAAAGCACTTTTGGAGCATGATCAGGAGGACACGGGTAATATTATGTCCGAAAGTTTGAGACGTAACATTATTTGCTTTAGCATTCAAGATGTGGTTGTCAAGATGTTTCATGATCTTTATTCTGCTTATCTTCTATACAAAAAAATCGTTTCCCCAAATTTTGGCATCATAATAGGTGCGCTAACCAGATCCGAGGGAAATATCAAAATGTTTCTTGAGACAGATATCAAGAAATCATGCGCCATCATCTTCTTCGACTGTTACTCACCAGAAGATCCACAACTACTCATGGATCTTATTGAGTCCCTTTCAGATAGTCTGGAGGAGCTGTTATGTGAATGGAGGCTATGGGATACCATTAGTTGCCAGCTAAAACTCTTGAGGAATCTCATTGGCTTGGCAACAATGCAAGGTTTTGAGCATACGCAACTTGCAAATCTCTCAACTTACACTGCAGTTATGGCTGGACGCCTGATTTCTGTATGTCGGTTTGGCAGACATGAAATACAAGTGCTCGATCAAATTAATCTTCTTGATCTCCAAGTCCGAGAAACTTGTATCCATGTCCTGACAGCTTCAAAGAAACAACCAAGATCATCGTATGCTTTAGCCCTTAAGGAGAATGAGGATCTAGGGGTAGTCCAATTTATTGGTTCTCTCCATGATTATCTCTACGATCTACTAGAATCTTATGCCAGTTTTCAGGCTCAAGTGAAGGATCAGATGCTAAAACTCCATCGGGGAATAAAATACCTAAGTATCCTTCTTAAACAGAAGGAGAAACTACGTGATGAAATACAGGATCTTATTGGAGTTATGGTCTGTGATGCAGGAATTCTGATCTTCTCTCTTTCTATCAATGAAATCAAAGAAGGCTTGCCCAAGGAAACGGATCTTGGGCTGTTTCATTTGCACAAAGTTCTCAAGTATTTGGTGGCAGAGGTTGCACACAATTACCAACTAACATCACCATATTCATCATTTAATTATCCTAGATCCAATGAGTTGGGCTGTATGGAATTTTTCCTAGAAAATCTCAAGGAACTAGCAAGGTGTGATGATGCTAATGATTCAATTGTTTTTCTACAGGATAGAATCCAAAGGATCGAAAAAGATCTCGAATTCTTGAGACATGTCCTCGTGAATATCAAGGAGCAGCGCTATCAGAATGGAAAACTCCAAGCTTTTTGGAGCCAGGTTATGGAGGCTACATACAAGGCAGAGTTATTGATTGACACGACACTAGTTGGTGATAAGTGTGAAGATTCTTTGGATGTTGTTGCTAGAGATATCAATCTTCTGAAGATTGAGGCCCTGGAGATACAAAATGGTCAAATCCAGAGAGTTAACAAGACGTCCATTCACATACCATCACAACTTATTGCTGCCATACACCATGAAGATCTGGTGGGTCTCGATGACAAGGTGAAATCTATCATTGATCGACTTAGGAGTGGATCAAAGCAGTTGGATTTTGTTCCCATTGTAGGTATGCCTGGGCTTGGCAAGACCACATTAGCCAAAAAAGTTTATATTGCTGATTCAGTTATGTCACATTTCCATGTGCGTTGCTGGTGTTGTGTCTCTCAAATGTATAGCATGCATAGTTTGTTAGTTCAGCTTTTGTGTAGTATTTCTTCTGAGAATCCTGACAAATATCTTAAGAAGAATGAAAATGATTTGGCTGAGAATCTAAGGCAGGTTTTGCTGAGAAGAAGGTATCTCCTTGTTTTGGATGACTTGTGGGACGTTGAGGCATGGAATTTGTTGGAAAAATCATTGCCGAATAATGCCAATGGAAGTAGGATTCTCTTCACCAGCAGATTGCAGAATTTGTCTTCGCAATTCAGACCTGATAGCAAGTCTTACCATCTCTGCCCACTTACTGATGAAGAGAGTTGGACATTGTTGCAGAAAAAGCTATTTTTCAAAGAAGGCTGTCCTCCAACACTAAGTGAAGTTGGATTTCAAATAGCGAAAACTTGTAGGGGCTTACCCCTCACAGTTGTCCTTGTAGGTGGAATTCTTGCTACTACTACACAAGATAGATGGGAAGAAGTTGCAAAATGTCTAAACTTTATTGTACTTGACAATAAAGGCTGTAAGAAGACACTTGAGTTGAGTTACAGTCATTTACCGGATTATTTGAAGCCATGCCTTCTATACTTTGCTGCATTTCAAGAAGATGAGGTTATTAACGTGCGAAGGTTGTTATGGCTTTGGATCGCTGAAGGATTGGTGCAACAAGCTAAAGGAAAAAGTTTAGAGGAATCGGCTTATGACTACTTGATGGCTCTAATTAGTAGAAGTTTAGTTGTGGTTACCAAACAAAGAACTATGGGTGGAGCCAAAGCCTGCCAACTTCATGATTTGGTACATGAGTATTGTGTGGAAAAAGCCAAAGAAGAAAGTTTTGTATGTGTTATTCATATTTTGAAAGACTCTTTCAGTCTTGCTGGATTAAGCAACCACTACCGAGTTCGTGCTCACAATACCGGGGAATTAAAGATTTGGGAATTAATGCTAATTTTTCCCAATTTACGCAGTTTGCTCTTGTCTGGACTTGTTGGTAATTATTATCTAACTGAAAAGGAGGAGTTAGGGACTTTGTTACCTAAACTTCTTAGAGTGCTGGATTTGGGGAGATATAATTATGTACCAATGGAAGTGGCATCGCTTGTTCACTTGAGATACCTGGTGCTCCATGGAACAAGATCCATCCCATCTGCGATAGAGAACCTCTCAAGGTTAGAAACTCTTATCGTAGAACACCCGTTTGATCAAATTGAGCTGCCAAATACTATTTGGAACCTTAAGAGATTGAGTTATCTATGTACTACAGATAGGACTCGTGGTTTCATTTTTCCAGCTGAAAATCTTGAAGTGTCCCCAAATTTAGTTCATTTAGACACTTTAAACCTTACAATAATTGAACCCTTCTCCCAAAGCTTGCAAAAGATACTAGCAAAGTTACCAACCATCCGCAGGCTAAAATGTAGCTGCAAAAGATCCCAGCCAGCTCGTAGACTCACTTTTGCAACTAGAAGTAGCAAAGAGATTCTTGAGTTTGACTGTATGAGACGACTAGAATCACTTCATTTGATTGAATTAAAGGGATATGAATTTAAATTCCCTTTGAATTTGAAGAAGTTGACTTTCATATTTAATTATCAGCCATGGAGTGAAATTTCAACAATTGGAAAGTTGCCCAATCTTGAAGTGCTTAAATTACGGTCTGAATCCTTTGTCGGAGAAGAATGGGTAATGAAAGAAGGGGAGTTCCCTAAACTCCGATTCTTGGAATTGTCATGGTTGAGCATTCGCAACTGGACTGCAACTTCTGATAATTTTTGCCATCTTGAGAAATTGGTTGTGTGCAATTGTTTGAAGCTGGAAGAGGTTCCTGCTTGTTTGGCAGAATGTCTGACTCTTGAAATGATTGAGGTAAAATGGTGCCGTGAGTCTGTTGCAAATTCAGTAAGGCAAATTCAGCAAGAACAGATGGATAGTGGAAATGAGGTTCTAAAGATCATAATTAAAAATTGTCATGAGACAAATTGCTCAGAAGCAGAGGAGATTTCCTCCAATTGCTCAGAAGCAGAGGAGATTTGCTCAGAAAGAGAGTTTATTTTGTCTCACTATACTTGAACTGGGTGAGAGTGAACGTACAGTGGGATTCCACTCATCAGGTTAGTTAAAATTATACTTTGAATGTGTAGAATCAATTCAATTATATAATGATTCAAGTCCATTTTTCATCTGTATATATATGTTGAATCAGTTCAATGATATATTAATTCGTTTATCTATCAAAGCAATTTCTGGAGGCTTCCAAATTCTTCTGTTTGAAACCGATACTGCTATATAACTTTCCAATTGCAATGGCAAACACAATCATGCATTAACCAAACCAACGTTAGCAATATTCAATGTTGAATATTGTTCATATAAGGATCTATAATCCCAAATTGTGTATCTAAGTAAGAGTCGTACAGAAAAGTATAAGTTGCTTCTATTTTTCCTCAAAAAAAGCCATAACTAAATTGATTGATATGTTGAAATATACAATAGCAGTTTTGCAACAAATATTAAGTAGAGACACAAACCAGTTTGTGTTACTTTTCAACGGAGAAAAGCCATATGACTCAGTTGTAAAATGTTGCGCCAAAACTTGACCTTTATAATTTGCATTACATTGTTATATGAAGAGCATGTTTCATTAACATTGAGATCTAGAAATAGCTTTAAATATCTAAAAACAGGTGTCTTTCTTCACTAATATTTTGCTGAAGTACAAATATTTTATTCTTCACTAAGCAATATTCTAAAGGAGCAATTTTTCTTACAGTCCTTTTACGTTGTTTCACATTTTGTTTTCCATTTTAAGGGGGTGAATTGCTCGAACTGATCAAAATGACAAATCAGATAAACTAGATAACCTTTTTTGTCAGGTGATCTGTGTACCTCTTCATTCAACTGATGTAGAACTGCAATTGTTCCTTCTTCATGAGTAGATTTGGGATGAAACTGAAGCATTCATGTCTTTTCTTAATTTGGTGTGATCACTCCACTCATCAGGTTAGATATATTTGTATGTGTATGTTAAATCAGTACAATGATATAACAATTGAATTTGCAATTTTTAGAGCTTCCAGATTATTTGGTTTGAACTTGATGCAGCTGTATTACTTGCTCATTGCAGGGGCAAGCACAGTCATGCATTCTATCAATCCATTGTAATATATCTTTGTATAATGTTCTCCATGTTCCTTCTGGTTTGATGTCTAATAGTGCTTATACTTTATCATAATGCTGCTACAGATTGAAATGATCCATAAAGGGTATTTGGTTGCCATTGAAGTTTCTTTGCATTCTTCAACTTGGCAATAATTTTTCTTAAACTTTTTTCTATGCTGTTTCATCTTTTATTTACCAATCAATGTGATTAATTGTTCAAAGTTCAACTGGTAAAAAAATAATTAGTTCTTTTATGGATGGACCACTATTGAAGCATCACAAAACATAATTAGTTCTTTTAATACCTGCTTAATTACTTTATCAAATCTCGTCCCAATTGGAGACAGGAAAGGATGGGAGGACCAAAAAAAAAAAGGTCTGATCTTGTCTATATACAATAGCGTTCCTCAACCTAGCTTATATAATTGACTAGACATCAAAGGCAAGACTTCTAATTGTCAAATCACTCGACTATAAACTTTTTGAGTCCATTCCACATTGCCCCTTTAAAGTTTTTTCTATGTTCATTTTGCTCCTCAAAATCTTAGTTACAAAACTTTACATCTCATCTTTCAAAGCAAATTCTAAATCTTACAAAGAGCTTAAAATCAAAAACCTCATAATCATCTAGTTAATACCACTATTAGCTGAACTGAGGCATGAGAGCACAATCCACTGTTGTTGATGCCATGCATCCCATTTTGGGTTCTCTCTCTCCCAAGCATAAAAAATGAGATTTGTTCACGAAAAGAGAACAACTTGGAAAAGACGTGATTACCATAATAACCAAAAGCAGAACAAACCCTCATCCTGCACACCATTTGCACAAATCTTTCATTATTGTTTATCATTTTTGGGACCTATCCTAATTCTACATCTATTTTGCTCATTAGTATATTCAAATATCCAACTTTAATTACGAGTTTAAAACCTCAAAGCGCTTGTGGAAGTTGAGGATGTGTTACATTGGATTAGACAAATTTTTGTTTAATTTATGTGATTTTTTTCTTCAAGGAGTCATAATGAACTTTTTATTCTTTTTGGACCATTTAAGACTTCCAAACTTTCTTTAGGATTCCTAGACTCCGGGAGGTTTTGATTTTTGCAATGATTTCCGACCACATCAAAATTTTTTCAAACTCAAAATACATGACAATGATTGAACTAGTAATCTAGACGTTTGAACTTAAAGTCACAAACATTCTATGTCCCTTTCATTCATCAGCCCGAGTTTCAAAATATTTTCAATTGTTGAAGTTGTTAAAAAAACTGTAAAATTTTGAAACAGCCTTCCTTAAAGTTTTTAGTAATATCATTTAGCATCCCTATAGTTTTAAAAATACCACTTAACTTTTTTTTTTTTTTTTTTGGTTTGGTAGGAGGGCTTTAGACCCATTACATGATGACTAGTCTAGGGAAGGTAATATCACTTACCTTCCCTATCAGTAAGATGCAACAAAAAGTCACTATCGCAGTATACAAAATGATAACATTACCGTCACTATGTAACATTATTTGTTCTAAAGGATTTTGGAAGGAAAAAAATAGAAATTGACAAATTAGAATGTCTTTCTTCACAATTTTTTGCACTTAAATCTTTATACTTTTTTAGTCCTCTTATGCCACCCATATTTTACGTTGTCATAAATATTCAAATAATAATTTAGACAAAAAAGTCTAAACAAAATTAGATCAATAAAGATAATTGCTATTCAGGAGTTAATTTTGCACTTAATGATAGGTAGCAATTTTGTTATAAATTTTATGCTTAGTTTCATCTTTCATTTTACCAAATATTGCATTAATTGGTGAATTCTTCTTATTTTTGGTAATTTGTGCCAGTTGCAGAGATTTGGAGTAAAAAGGAATTAAAAGGCCTGATTCCTTCATTAGAATTGTTGTTCGGCATGATCACGTCAGAATTAAAATTCTGCATGTCCCGGGGAGCTCGGGAGTTGACGCGTAATATCCAACTGTGGATTGAAGTCTCTAAACTCGGATTAGAAAGGTAGCACTAGAGGATTGTTATTGACTCTTCCTTTCAGTTAAGGTAGGATTTGTTGGAATAGTTTAACTTGAATTAGTAAGTAGTATTTTAGTAGTGGCAGGAAACAAGAGAGCATCTCTTATCGTTTCCTTATCTCTTAGTTCAAGGAGGAGAGACTAGCAAGTAGATATCTTCTCTTGGCCGCAAGAGAGAGGAGAAGAGACGTTTTGCATCTTTTTCTCTTTCTTTTCTTCGGATACTTCATCTCTAATTGAGGAATGTTTTCGACAATGGATTCTTCAATTTTATGTAGGATTTCTTCAATGGAAATGAACTAAACTCACCATTCTAGTCAAGAAACAATGGAGGATTTGGTTCACCTGAAATTATGAGATCGAATTCGTTTTATTTATTCTTCTTATTTTCTGGTATTCGTATATTCCATACTTTACTTTCTTATGGTTATTATATTATTCGAATATCTAGGGCCGGAATTTAGATTAATTCAATAACCTAAAATCAATTAGGGCAATTAAATCTATAATTGTTTAATTGTTCTAAATTAGTGGTGACTGGCATGATTGGGTTTATGTTAGGGAAATATACGGACTAATTTAAAATAACTCTCGTAGCATATTATTTGGTTAGAACAGGGTTTCTTTAATTCTTAAAGTAATTAGGAGATTGAACTCTAAAGTCGTACTTAGGGTTATTTCTCGATTAAAGTAATAACTAACGGTCGTATCTTGATTATCTATTTATTAAGGAGAAGTTGACTGTCATGGCTTGTTTGGCAGTTATAACTTGTTTATCAGTTAATAAGTGAAATTACTATTGTATCAATGATCAATTAAGTGAACCATTTCTGAAGTTATTTCTTGGTTAGAGCTTGTCTATTATTACTTCAATTTTGATAAATTGTCATTTAATTTTTATTTATTTATTTTATTCAAGTAGTTTAATTATTCCTATTTTTTCTATAAAATTCCCCTGTACTCTGAACTCTATGCCAACTATATTTTAAGTTACTCTTACTATTCTAACAATTATTTGGAAAAATTTAGAAGCTTAGATACCAAATTTATAAAACTAAAATTGGATATTCTAAAAATTATATTTGCAATTAAAAACCCCTTTATCCACTTTGAATGCTCTGATGCCAACCTTATATCAAATCAACCTTGCTATTCTAACAATCTTTTAGGCAAAAAATTTAGAAGAAACTAAAATCCGTAAAAGAATGGTTATCCTAACAATTATTTTTCACATAAACTGTCCTTTTCCCTAACTTTTAGTTCTCCAGTACCAACTTTATATTAATTGACCTCTCCTATTTTGACAGTTTGTGCAAAAAAGAATTAAATGCACGTGAGCTTCTTCTGGATTAAATGCACTATTTATGCCATATATCATCATATTCATATAGGGTGTGTAAGAGGACCTTCAAATTCTTTGTTAATTTGCAGGTTAGCGATCAAATCCGTGGGTATAATCTAGAAGATGCTCAAATATACTCTTCTAGCTACCTATTCCCTAAAGTACATACAGTTTTTGGGAGCGAATCCCCAACTTGCATTTAATTTAAAAGGTGCTCAAATATAGGCCCTGTTTGGAAGCTTGGTTTTTTACCAAGTTTGTATAAAACTAGTTTTTTAACAACTTTTGCTACAGAAACCCCAAAAAACTTATCAAAGTTTTTAACCTACACACTTAAAATATCCAAAACACAACAAAAAAAAATTCCCTTCCCCTTTTCTTCTTCTTTCTCCCCCACCACCACCTCCATTGCCGGCTCCGTTACCAATTTCCGGTGCCGGTGCCGGTGCTGGTCTTTTTTTTTTTTCCCTCTTCCTTCCCTGCCATCATCCTCTCGTCTTTTTTTTTTCTCTCTCTACGTCCGGCGCAGAGGGAGGTGGCGCAGAGGAGGGCGGCGAGGGGGACAGAGGGGAAGGGGCGACGGGAGGGGGAAGGGGCAGAGGGGGCGGCACAGAGGGGAAGGCGGGGGAGGGAGAGGCAGAGGGGGCGGCGCAGATGGGGGGGGGAGGGGAAGGAGGGAGAGGGGGTGGCGGGGGGAGGAAGGGCGGGGCAGAGGGGGCGGCGGGAGGTGGAGTTGCTGCTGGGGGTGGCGGAGGTAACGGGGAAGAAGAAGAAGAAGAAGAAGAAGAAGAAGAAAAAGAGAGGAAAGAAAAGAAAAAGGAAAGAAAGAAAAAGGAAAGAAAGAAAAAGAAAAAGAAAAAGAAAGGGAAAGAGAAAAAAAAAGAAAAAAAAAGTTTTTCACTTTACAAAATTTTTTCAAAAACTTCTACAGTGCACTACAGTAAAGTTTTAGACAAAGTCCCAAAAAACTCAGGTTCCAAAATTTTTTCAAAAACTTCTGCAGCCATGGTCCATTTTTTTGCTTTTTCCCTCCCCTTCTCCTCCCCTCCCCCGCCACCCTCCCCTCTCCCCTAGCGCGACCAAATTGCAACCCCCCTCCCCCTCCCCCTCCCCCTTTGCGCTGGTCACGCGACTAGATCGCAACTAGCAGGAGGGGGAAGGCAGAGAGGAAGAGAGGAGGGGGAGGGAGAAAGAAAAAAAAAGAAGCACCAACATATTGGTCGCGCAAGGGGAAGAGGAGAGGGGGTGAGGGAGACGGAGAGAAAAAAAAAAAAAAAAAAAAGAGGAAGGCCGGCACTTGCGGCCGGAATAGTGACCGGCGCCGGAAGCGGTGGTGGAGGTGGTGGCCGGCGACGGAGGACGTGGTGGGTTGGGTGGGGGAGGAAAAAGAAGCAAAGTTGAAGGGAAAGTTTTTTGTGTATTATATTTGAAGTGTGTAGGTTAAAAACTTTGATAAGTTTTTTGGGATTTCTATAGCAAAAGTTGTTAAAAAACTAATAGCAAACAAACTTGTAAATTGTATCCAAAAAAAAAAAATGACGAAGACAATCTAGATCCTGTTAGTCCATCAGTCTCGTAGGATACGAGCAGGAATAGAGTGCACTCTTCTAATCACTCCTTTTCCATGATAGAAGTTCAAATTAGCCAATATCATATTGTTCAAGAGAAAAAAAAAAAAAGAGAGAGAGAGAGAAAGACAACCTAGACCCCTTGGATCCATTTGTTGTACAGTGTAGGAGTCGAAATAGGAGTAGATTAGGGGAAAAAAAAAAAGGCACATTCATCTAACCATCACACCATGTCAAACGTTTATGACCATCCCTTATTGTTTTTTCTAGAATTTTAAATTCTTAGAATATGAGGTTCCTATAATGATCTTTGACAAATGTAAAGGGTTTACTGCACTTCGCAACCTTAAAGTTCCTTTTATTTTAACTTTGCTCTTAAATATTTAACTAGAAACCTTTACACCCTTTTTCGTTTTAAAGTTGGCTTTTCAAGCCTTACAAAAGGAAAAGAAAAGGAACCTCGTGATTTTTCGTAATGTCTTCCAATCGAATCGAAGCTTGAAATTCTAATCTATTAATCTTCACATTATAAGGCTTTTTATATATAATGCATCCGCTCCGTTAATTGCAATACTATCGAAGAAGAAATTTATTTATTTGCAAAAAATACAATACTGAATGTACTGATTATTGTGTGCCTTAATTAGAGTACCAGATAGGCCAACCAATATTATTAATCCCACGTTGACCCTTTTCTCAAGAGTTATCCAACTTATAAGAAATATAAGCAGAAAAACAATCCCTTCAATTAAAAAGTGTTGACACATATTAAATTCTAGGCAAAATATGTAGGAGAAGAGGAGTTTAATAACCACAAACACAAACTACATTCGTTTCTCATATTGAAACCTACATAAATTCTTGGCAAATTTGTCTTTATAACCACAACTCTGTTTAGTTTTTTCTCACTTTTCTCAACTAGATACAATGCTGAAATACCCTATATATAGTTGGCATCACTTGGTAATTAAGAAACTACTAAAACAAGAAAACTATTACATAATTACTTCATTCCCTCACATCTAAATTACTAACAGTTGGCTATGCCTTTTTTTATAATCTTTTTCAACCGCGGAATGATAGGATTGAAAAAGCAAAGAAGGTGTGGAAGGTTTTTGAATCCAAAACCTCTAATTCTTGCTACCACAAGGCCCTCAACCTTAGCCATTAGACTAACGCCTCCATATCTAAACTTGGCTATACTTTTTTTTTTTTTTTAGCAAAGCCCCCCAAAGAGGGGGGCGGGATGCGGGTGCCAGCCCCTATAGAATACTTCTAAACTAGAAATAGGAAACATCAACTATTGGAAAAGCTTGGCCTAATTATGCCAAAAATACCTCCCTTAAACCAAAACTCTCCATGATCATAGCTTTACACTATCACCAGCCAAAAAATCTTCATTGAGATTATTGCATCATCTTCTAAAATCTTTGTTCAATATAGATCAATTGTTGTCAATTGCTTCACCTTCAATTTATTAGCTACTGACTCATACCTAGTATCAAGATTCTCAATTTTGCAAATCAATGACAACAAAAAAAGTTCCGATTTATTAGCGGGACTCATACCTAGTATCGAGATTCTACTGTATCTATTGTTAAATTGTAGATATATTATTTCAAATGCATGTTCAACCTGTCACTAGGGCAGAGATGTAAATCAAATCATGTTTGACGATTTCCAATAGTCCATTAATGAAATTTACTTTTTCTTAAAACAATATCAAGATTCTCAATTTTGCAAATCAATCACAACAAAAAAAGTTGAGGGGAATTTTTTTCATCGCTTTCATATTAGCAAAATATCTCAACTGACTTGGGATCTTTTTGGCTGATCACTATCCAACACACAATAATATGACAGAATACTTCTTCTCATATCTCTGTCGAATTAGGCCCAATTTTTCCTATTTGTCAAATAACTAGAGTATATATATATATATATATATATATATATATATATTATGAATTTGTGTTGGATTTCTGACCTTCCAATTAGTTGTCTGCTTGAAGATTTAACATTATCAACCTATAATCATCTTCTACATATTCGGATTTTTACTGCTTGTGTACCTTGGATTCAAAAGTAGAACTGAATTATATCATTCAAAATGTCAGCAAAAATTATTCTGGTATACAATTTGAAAGCTATTATTATGCATTCGACTTCACAAAAACTGTATTGAATATGATTCAAAATTTTGTGGGCATTAAGTGTAATTCTAATCTTTTCAAGAGTTCAAGAGATATCCTTTTTATTTTTTCAAAAAATAGAAGCCAATATTATTAGTAAACTAGTTGAAAATCATTTAGCATGAGAAAGCTGTACTAATAGTAGAAAATACATGGAACATGTCATAGATATATCTAATATGAAAAAATATTAGATTTAACAGAGTTACAAAATGAGAAAGATCAGACTATAAATGAGAAACCATCAAATCTGACCAATTGTATGAGTTACTTCATAAATATCTGTACATGCCTACTCTCTCATCTTGCTATCCAACTAGTTCAGGTTCAAAATTGATGTTGAGATTTGACAAAAAGACCCAATAAATTTCAGATCTAACATAAAGATCTAAAAAAACTCCTAGATATGAGAAAAATAACAAAAAAAATAAACAAAACTCCCACTAAAATAGTTTAGAGGGTAAAAAGCTCTCACTAATAAATACTAGGAAAGAAAAAACTCTCACTAAATTATCCTAAGAGAGACTTTAAACATGAAACAAAAATAGAGGAAGAACAAGGGAGACCTTGCTCTTATGGAAGAAGAACAGTGGAGAGAAGAGTGAAATTAGAGATAAGGCAGAGAGAACGTGTGTGTGTGTGTAGATTTGTACCAAGTTGTGAGGTTCCTGAATTCAAGGGATATCCTAGTCAAATATAGGTCTGATTGTTGATTTGAATAAAGCTCCTAAGTCATTGTGGTTTAACATAAAAGTTTACCACATAAATACTTGAATTAGCCTTTAGGATGATTTTTTCTTTTCCTCCTTTCTGATTTATCAAGAAAGAAAATTATCATATCAATTTGTCGGGAGTTTCTTGAGAAAAAATAAAATAGAACAGAATCTAGTAACATTACTAATTTGTATACCTTGCTAAGGAAGGAGGTAAAGAATCAACCTTGTCTCTGTGTGTAGCTTATGAGAAATGTGTATGTTGGACAGCAATTAGCAGAGGAATCTGAAAGAGCAAATAAAATGTTAGGGTTGAAGAAGTTTAAGAGTTGGAGGAAATCAATAAAAGCTCTATGCATGTTTCTAATGGCCAATTGAAGGCTGTTCGTGTCTTTCTCTTATTATTATTCGTGCATCGGCATTTAAGAGAATTTTGAATATATTTTGTTGGGGTTGGCTTTGTCCATGTCCTAGTAGAGCTCATAATTGAGCAAATTTTTGGTTATTTCCAAAGTTTGAAAAAGATTAAGGGCAAAATACACTTTACTCCCCCTATGGTTTAGTGATTTTTCATATAACCTGTCCCTAGTTTCAAAAATTATACATTAATCCTCTCATAGTTCGGACTAAAATATGAATATGCCAGAAATAATCCTCTGTTATGGAATTCAAGGAAATGTCGAGAATATCCTTGCTTAAAAATTAAAATGACTGAAGTGTTCAAAATATATAAACTTAATAGGCATGAAACTTAATCCCATATAGTTTTATGTTTTACTATATAATCCCCTTATGATTTAGTCTTTTATCACATGACCCCTTTATGGCTTTTAAAACGTATACATAACTCCCTCTGTGGTTAATTAATAATTTTCAACTTCACAAAGGAGTACTTTTGACATTTTAGTTGACTCCGTTATAGAATGTAAATTCTGTGACTTTGATAATTTAGTTCAAACTATGAGGAAGTTATGTATAACTTTTGAAACTATGAAGGGTTATATGAAAACTTAGTAAACCATTGGGAACAAAGTGTATTTTACCCAAAGATCAATTGACAGAGTAATAATGAGATTGTGTGGTTACAAACAATATAACGGGGTATCGTTAAGAAAAAAAAAAACAATATAAATGGGAAGAAGTTGCAGTCAAACAAATTTCCAAGTAGTGCAATGGTGGGTCCTTGCATTACTAAATCTGTAATTGATTAGTCAGTGGCGATTAATTGTACATTTTTTTTTATGCATCAGTAGCATTTTTCTGTCAATCATCAGTTGAAGTCCCTTGCACAAGATAAATGGAGGACAAAGTGGTTGAAGCAACAACTGAAGAACCGTCCACAAGGAATTAGCTGCAGAATTGAACTGTAAGGGCTTAAGACTGCGAAACAAAGTGAAATTCACTCTGGAAATCTGTGAAGGTTTTTTTTTTTTTTTTTTTTGGAGAAATGAACCTGAAATATTATGTTTTAATCATTCAAGATGGATTACCTAGTGGCTTAATTTTATCCCTTATTAACTGTGAAAACTTTGCATAACCAACACATTGACACCAAAGAAACACAATTTAACTATGTTCTAGCAGGCAATTTCATTGATCAGTCCATGAAGGGAACCTTGAATGTGTTATGCTCTTGCAGTAAAGCAAGTGGTGCTAAAAGGATTGTCCTAAGTTCTTCCACTCTGCAATAAGGAATGGAGATAATGATGATGCTTGAAGTTTTTCCTTCCATGGGACACTAAAGGTACACTACAACATTGTTCTCTGTATATATGTTTGACATCTTTGATTTCCATTCTTACTGAAACATTACACCATAAAAGCCAAATTACTTGTTCGCAAGCACAAAACCACTGCAAAACAATGTAACCAATTCAAAAACTTAAGCAATACAATACGAGCACAGTATTTAATGTCACTAGTAGTAGTACCAATGCTGTCATTCTAAGATGATCCCTGCTGATAGTTCCTCCTAAAAAAACTAGAGGTTACTTAAAACTAATCCAGCTACAGAACGGTGTCAATTACCTTGGTGGAACCAGATTAGGATTCATGTTCTTCAATTTCTTCGGTATATAGTGACGTTGAACATTCGATTGTCCTTCATCAATTCAAATACACAAACATCACCTACCATTAGGTTGTTATCCAGCACAAACTCCTCCCAACCTCGCTTAATTTTCGCTTTTGTTGTATAAATATAACATGTGACAGGCCATATTTTGGTCCCCTCTGAGACACGAAGCTCCATATCCCAATGCTTGCATTCCTTGAGATATTTCTTGGCAAAGACCGGTGAAAAGAACTACGAAACAGAGAACGATCTATAAGTAACAGCATTAACTAAATAAGGCAGCCATTCATTAGAAAAATCATTAGAGGTGTTAATGCACGAAAGTTAGCTAAAATCACCAGCTTGCATGAATAAGTGACATAAGATGGTTGCATGAAACTTATGAAGAAGGGATTCTCAGACGTGAAAGTTTTTGCTCTTTGGTAAGATATAAACTTCTCCTTATCAATCACTGTTTCACTTTTGGCAATTGCAGATTGACGAGTACTGGGCACTCCTTCAGAACTTTCTTCTGCAGACAAATCAAGCAAGTTAACCTCAAGATTAACATCAATCAAAAGTACATGGTAACGCAAAGAAGAATGAAAACTGTTGATTAGAGAAAATTACTTTTGATCATCTTCTGAGGTGGATTGACATCTACTTCCAACTTTTCAACATTCTCATTTTTTCTGCTTTCAGAATCTTGTTCCTCATGAATCTGAGCTGATTTTCGCCTCTGTTTGGTATGGCATGATGCAGCAGCTGAAACTTCCCCCAGTATTTCAAAGGAATCATCATCAGATTCAACTTCATCAGATTTCTGAAACATGGTCCTCCTCCTCCTCATTGGCGGCTGGTTCTTATGATCATGCATACCATGGTCCTCAGGGGCTTCGAGACGATATTCGATTTCTGAAGCAGATGGATCGAATATGATAACTTGGAACTGGGAATCCCCACAGTATTCAAACACCAAGAAATGGCATTCTCTAATGGAATAATACTCTGCAAAATCCTTCCACCCTTTGTCCAACCAAGTGCCAAATTCAGTCTGGAGCAATTCTATTGGCCACGAAGCTCCAGTTGGAACCTTCAAAACCACAACCTGCTCCAAACTCTCTCCATAATCTCTCATAAATGCGGTTGGGATTTTCTGAATTTCGAATCATTAGCAAGAGAAATGGTTATCATCCACAAGTTCACATCAGTGAAACAATATCAAGTGCTAATATATAGTACCGTTACGCTAGTAATAGCTACTTACTATGCCTCGGTCCATAGGAGAAAGCACAACTTTGAAGAAATGTGGAGGCTTCTTGGCCTGATGATTGAGGGCCTGGTCGAGAGATCTGTTGTTTCCTCTTTGGTTAGTAGCCATGTATGGGTAGATGCTTCGGATTCCTCAGTATTTTTCTTCTGAGAAGAACAACGGGCGACTGGAACTGGGACGACAAATTGTAGAGTAGGTGACGAAGTTAATATCAAAAGCGAGACTTGTTAATAGTCTCACTAGAGTCAGGAGGGGTTCGAGGTTAGTGAGACCACAAGTATTAGTGGTAGAAAGGGGCAGCCTAACAGCCCATTTGCAATTAAGACAAGGCAGCAAATGGAACTGCAGCCTGCCATTTCCTAAGTAATATTTATTACATTTGAATTTTGAGTTTAGGAGTAATTAAGTTCGTTGAATTTAACCACTTAGGATCGGCAAGTGGTCATGGAAGGACTCTTAAGGTTTTCTTCACGGTCAGGTCCAGGATTCAAATCCTCTAACAATTGGAGGTGGGGTGGAAAAGGTGTAGAGGGTACAAAAAAAAAAAAGAAGTTCGTTGAATTTAACCACTATGGCTGGTCCAATGGACAGTGGAGAATTTTTAGAGTTTTCTTCACTCTTATTTTAAGAATTCAAATCCTATACCTGACAATCGGAGGTGGGAGCATATTTTTAAAAAAATATATAGTTTGTTGAATTTTGGTCTTTGCTAGTGTTTCGTTCAGGATTTGAATCATGTATCTGGTAAATCGAGGTAGAAAGGATGTGGAAAGAGATAAAAGTGTTGAAAAAAAAAATCGTTGATTTTCAATTTTAACTTACTACATTTACCAAATCAGAATTCAATTGTAATAATGTTCAGGATTTGTATTATTATACACTGTAACTTTGTACAAGATTTGGTAATGGCAGTCGTGCATGTCAAAAATGGAATTGACGTAAAATACTATTATAAAAGTGCGCGGGTGATCTAAAAATGAAACTAGTTTAGTGACAAAAAAAATGGTATAAATAATTTAGTGCCCATCAAGATACTTGCCCCTTTTAAATTTTTAGTTATATAATACTTGTTTGTTTCTTTATTTGTTTTCCAGAAACTGGGCCTATAAACATTAAATGATAATAGGATGAATCATGATAGTGAGAATTGCTGAATTGCTGTTCCAGCTGGTAATTCGGTGTGGAAAGGGGTGCAAAACGCAAAACAAACAGCTCAGGCTTCCATTCCTATAAAGCTTTTAAATTTCACCAACGCCACAACACTTTCAAGGATCTTAATTTTCTCCCCAGTAGAGTCCAAGTTGATGGTTGGGGCTAGGGATGGCAATGGGGCGGCACCCGCCCCGCAGGGGGCTAATGGGGAGGGGGTTGGGGGAATTTTTTCCCCCCAGCTTAGAAACGGGGCAAGGGGCGGGAGAGTGTACCCCCACCCCATCCCCCACCCCGCCACCCGCTTTAAAAAAATAAATATATAAAATATATAGGTATATAATTATATATATAATATATAAATTAATTAGTTACAAATTTATGATAATGATATTATTAGTTATATTTATTATAGGGAAAAGAGTCCCAATAGCCCTCCAACTCTTACCCAAGTAAAGTTTTGGCCCTCTAACAATTAAAGATAAGTTTTTGGCCCTCGATCTAACAAAATAGCATATTAGTGGCCCTTCTGTCAAATCCAGCAGTTAACTATGACGGGAAGGTTCATCTCGTGAGACGCGCCACCAAATATGAAGGGCATTATAGTCTCTACATGATGGTTGACCAAGCAAAGAGAGAGTAAAAAGGTTGCTTCTTCTCTTACCTCAAGTTACAGCAACAAAAATCTCCATCCAGTCAAAGTTGGAGCTGAAAATGCGAAGAATGAACAGTTGCCCTCTACCGATGTGCAGATGTGAGAAAGAGACTAGGGTGATTACTTCGTGGACTTCAAAAAATCCTGGGCGAAGGTTTGCTGTGTGCGCAGAAGGTTGCTGTGGATATTGGGCATGGATCAATGATTCCTGCCCAATATCCAACTCACCTTTCCATCCGTTTTTCTTCAAGGCCTCATAGTAAAGCTGACCACTCTCTCTGATGATATCTTTCTCAGATATGCAAATCAGAATCTTGCTACAAACAAGGCTCGACAACGAACCCGGATGAGCCATCGGATTCAGCCTTGGATCATCCCATCTAGGGGTGAGCAAATTCGGTTCTTACCGAATTCATAACCGATTTCAAATTCAATTCGGTAATTTGAAATCGGGTATTTGGTAATTTGGTACAAATTCGGTACGTACCAAATTCACCGAATTCTAATATGGTATGAAATAGGTAATGAGATTATGAATTAGGTAATAACCGATTTCGCATTCAAATTCGGTAATTGAAATCGGGTACCGCATTACCGCATTCGAATTACCAAATTGGTATATAAAATTATATAATATATAGATAAATGCTATTTAGTATTAGTATATACTACTAATACTTTATTATATTATATAGGTAAATGCTATTAATAGTAATTAGTATATGGTATTATCAATTTATCATCATATCATGTACTTATAATAATAATAATATATAATAATGTACAATATATTATTTTAGTATTTGTTAATTGTTATATGACTATAATAATACAAATATATAGTAATACATAACAATATAAGATAACTATAATACTTATTATTTTATACATGAGTAACATGACTAGAATTAGATAATAATTAACACATATATGTATAATACTAAATATTAAACAATAAACATAATTAGTAATTAAATTTAGATATTGGTAATTTGATACATCATTCATGTTTGAATTATTGAATATTTGAATGCGTAATCTCTAACTTGCAAGTATTAGTGCACTCTACATAGTTAACATAAAAATTCATATTATCTATTCACTAATCTTAATTCTTAAGACTTTAAGTATAGATAAGACAACTAAGTAGTTAGCAGTGTAAGTGAATGCATATGAATTGCAAATCAATGTGCTAGTGTATTGACTTTCACAATAATATATGTAAGTAAATAAGTTTTATTTTGATTTGAAATAAATTATAAGTTTGTAAGTAATATAACTTATCACTACTCATTGTAATTTGTAAGTTTGTAACTAATATTACTTATTATTAATCATTGTAAATTATAAATTCATAAATTATCACTAATCATTGTACAGTCTAAGGTTTATTCTACTTTAAATTAATTACTTTTTATGTGTTCCTTAAACCATAGACTAATGATTTTAGGCATAAGTTATCAAATAAGTTAAAATTCATATTATCTATTTACTAATCTTAAGGCTTTAAGTATAGACAAGACAACTAAGTAGTGTAAGACTGTAAGTGAATATATGTGAATTGCAAATCAATGTATTAGTGTATTGACTTTCACAATAACATGTGTAAGTAAATAAGTTTTTATTTTGATTTGAAATAAATTATAAGTTTGTAACTAATATAACTTATCACTAATCATTGTAATTTGTAAGTTTGTAACTAATATTACTTATTATTAATCAGTGTAAATTATAAATTCATTGTAACTACTAACTAATATTGCTTATTATTAATCATTGTAAATTATAAATTCATAAATTATCACTAATCATTGTATAGTCTAAGGTTTATTCTAGTTTAAATTAATCACTTTTTATGTGTTTCTTAAATCATAGACTAAGGATTCTAGGTATAAGTGATCAAATAAATGCCAATTAAACCACAAAATGATTAGAACATAAGTAATGTGTTCAATTATGAATAAATTTGGGGATCAAATCAGTAATAATTTATAAATCATAGATGAATTCGGTTTAACCGAATTCATTACCGTTTTCGAATTTGAAATCGGTTACGAAATGAATTCGGTTATGCCCAATTCGGAATTGAAAACGGTTTAAATTTTTACAGGTAGAATAACCGAATTCAGTGCACCGAATTACCGAATTTGCACCGAATGCACACCCCTAATCCCATCCCTTAAAGTCTGAACAGATAAGCTCCCAAAGTTTATTAGGCTTCCCATCACCGAAAAAGGGATGCATCAAAATCACTCCCTCGAGCTTTACGCCGTCGCCCAGCCCCTCTTGACCTGCTCTCACTGCCATGTTATGGGCAATGTTACCTCCAACGCTGTCGCCGGAGAAGATGACCTTGGTGAAGTCGGCGTGATTATTAATCCATGAATCGGGAACTTGTCTATCTTTGGCATGAGCTATGACCCAATTAATCACTGCCCAGGAATCGTCGTAGCACCTGGGCACGGGGTGCTCCGGAGGAAAAATTGTTGGTGAAACTGTTTTTATTCTGTCTTGATTTAGAGACTATAATGCCCTTCAAATTTGGTGACGCGTCTCACGAGATGAAGCTTCCTGTCATAGTTAACTGCTGGATTTGACAGAAGGGCCACTAATATGCTATTTTGTTAGATCGAGGGCCAAAAACTTATCTTTAATTGTTAGAGGGCCAAAACTTTACTTGGGTAAGAGTTGGAGGGCCATTGGGACTCTTTTCCCTTTATTATATGATGTCTATTAGTATATATAATATAATTGATATTATTAATTATACTAATAATTATATATGTGTGCTAATACAAATTATTAATTGGTTATACTAAATTTACTAATACATTTATACTAAATCCCTAATTACACTTAATACAATAACATTTTTTTCTTAAAAAAAGCACAAGCACAGTAATGAATTAGTGATTGTATTTGTATCAAAAGTGAAAACTTGCCTACTTTAGTTATATTTATTTCATCATGTTGGATTGCATTCAAATAATTTTTGTCTGATTGTTTTTATAGGTTTCAATTGTAAAATTACAATGAATAATAATTTGATGATGTGTTGATATTTTAGTACTTGATTATTTGCTAAAATTTAACCATAATAAAATTATATAATAAATTTTTATTAGCCCCGCGAGTGGAAGCGGGGCTGGGCGGGGGGAGCGGGGGACGGGAGATGGGGGAGGGGTCCCCGGCCCCAACCCTGCCCCGTTGTCATCCCTAGTTGGGGCCATAGACTTAACTGTAGTATATAATAATGGCTCCATTTGACAAATGAATTTTTTGGGTGCTTGTTTTCGTTTGAAATTTTATTGTAACTTACTGTAGAAGTTGTAAGAAAATTTTTTGAAGTGTGTAAATTTTTGGATATTTAGAAGTTTAAGTTTAAAAACTTTGAGAAGTTTTTTGAAATTACTGCAGTTAAAGTTGTTAAAAAACTTGTAGCAGATAAACTTGGCCAAAAACTTACTTATCAAATAGGCCCAATGTTTTAAATAAAATTTAAACATCTTAACCAAATTCTCAAAAGTTAATTTATTCTTCTAATGAGAGAAAATTATGAATTTTAGAGGGTTAAAAATTGGGGTCATTGTACTTGTCACAATAACTTAACCTCTCTTTTGTTTCCTTTTCTCTTTCATTCCATTAAATGTAGTAATACTTTTCGTTGTGTTTTTCTCCTTTCACATTTTCAAAATGATTTAAATCTTTTTGCCTATCCTTTTACCCTTTTGCTTTTATTCCTTTGCCTTTTCTTTGACCTTATGCTGAATGTAAGTTATTTCATTAATTGATCTAACTACTTTTATATATTAGTTTTTATGTTTTCTGGACTATTGCATGTTTAAGTAGGGATTGGAGCAAGCACAGTTAGAGTAGCTATAGTTGGGTACTCTTATTGCACTTCATCTATAATTTGGTGTATGCTTGTAAATGTGATTGTATTTATGCATTGAAGTGGTATGCACAAAAATAATTTATAAAAACATATATCATGTTATGTAAAAAGTACAATAACTGGAGAACTGATCTATGAAAATCTTAACCGTACTTACCTATAATTTGGTGTATGCTTATAAATGTGATTGCATTTATGCATTGAAGTGGTGTGACAAATATAATTTATAAAAACATATATCATGTTATGTAAAAAGTACAACAACTAGACAACTATATGAAAATCTTAACCGTACTTGCCTTTGATTCATTATAAGTCTATTTATTTTAGCAATATTTTTGTAAATTTGCATTTTGTTTCTCAAATAAAAATAATTTATGAAATTACACTCATTGAAATTGTATGGCTCAATGTGATATAATTTAGGATTCCAATAGCACCGTTCTTAGTTATTTCCACCTCAACGTGTATAACTATGTGCTTATTTGCAACTTATGCAACTTCTCAACTTGATTTTTTGCCTAGGCATGTTGTTTTGTTTCATTTTTATTGACAAATGATATTTATAATTTAAAATAATCTTTTGGTACTTTATCTTCTTTCATTAATTAATATGTTAGAGTAGAGTATCAAGAACTATTTTGGAGTGCAAATTATCATTTGCCTTTATCACTATAATATTTTGTAAGTGAGCATGAATGCCTGATGAACAAGCGAATTCATGGATTTGACATTTCATAACTAAATTGACCTTAAGCATCAAACAATGAAGTGAGGAATACGGATGCGATAGGCAAGCAATTTACAGTGGTCTATTTTAAAAAAAAAAATTGTGAATATCTACCTTAAGCATCAACCAATTGGTGCTATATCTAAAGGTTGATGCGATGTCTAAAGGTTGATGCGATGCACTTTTTTTCCTGAAAATTTTCACATCCTTGATAATTTAATGTATTAAGCTATTTAGGAGCAAGAAAGGGTTTCTTGTGGCACCAAAGTCATTTGACCTTTTTTTCTTTTTTCTTTTTTCTTTTTTTTGGTTTAATCATAGCAAGGGTAATTTTTTTTCTCTAGTTTTGCACTTTTGCTCTCACACCCTCTCCATTCCTTTTTCATCCTCAACTGTGAGATACAGGATTCGAATCTTGAATCTAACAATGAAAATTACCCTAAAAGGTTATTATCAAATGTGCCTACAAATTTTTTTTAGTTGAACTTAACAAGTGAACCGATGAAATCATTAATTACAAATTCTATACTCAAATTCTAATTTCTCAAAATCCCTCATCTCATCTTATTCATACCTCCCAAAATTCCACCACCTCTGCCACTACCATATTCAACTAAGAGCTTGCTACTACTAATATTATTAAAAAAGGAAACTGCTACTATTGATAGTACTAAAGAAAAAACTAAGAAATCAAGAATTCCTCCATCTCATCTTCATTACGATCATGACTCAGGAGAACTTGATGTTTCTTTGTTAATATCCTAAGTTTTGGAGATGTTGAAAAACATCTTCTGCAAAGTATTGCAAGTTTGCTTTCTTGTGACGACTAAAGAATTGATCCTCTAGCAGCTTAGCAGCCATGGGCCTCATCTTTGGATTAACACTATGCACCTTTTCACCATCCTCACAACGAACTGGAAAGATCAAACATTGATTGCACTGGATCTACCCAATCTTCCATGATAAAGAGTTCTTTTAATGACTTTTGGGGCCATATTTCAACTTCTGGTTGTGGTTATGGTCTTGTTGCCGCAACTGTTGAGGGACCAGCTAATGCTTGACTTTTTGTTGCTGGATCATTCATCGTAAAGATCTGGTGCAATGATATTAGAAGTCCTCTTTCATTCTTGCTTAATTTTTCCAAGATATCATGGAAATCCAATAGCAGACGATTACAATGTTCTCGATAACTACGAAATGGCCCAAGAGCCAACTCTGGAGGTATGACACCAACACTGAAGATATCAAATACAGGTTTGATGCTTGGTTCATAGTAATCAATTCCACGAATATTATAATTGATGAGTGCTTTTTTTGCATGTTTGTCTGTGGTTTGTTATGAGCACTTTAGTGTGTTTTTTATTTAATTCAAGTCAATATCGAGCTCGAGTCGACCTCGAACTGGCCCGAGTCAAAATCAAGCTCGAAATCGAGCTCAAAATATTATGCTCGTCGCGAGCTCGAGTATATATATATAATATTTTTTATTTTTTATTTTAAGTATATATATATTTTTTTATTTTCTTATTTTAATAGTAAAATTACATATATATCCTTAATATACTTAAAATATATACTTAATATATCCTTAATATATCCTTTGAATTGTTCGATTCGACTAGTATACAGCCCTACTCAATATATCCAAAATTGGCAAATACGCTCCACGAAGGCAGTCGAAACCCAACTGCAAAACCCGCACATCAACTACAAAACCCAACTTCTTTTTATATATGTATAAAATAAGATTTAAGAGCTAAAAGTATTAAATTCTTTTGAATTTAGCCTCGAGTTGCACTTTATTGCTGAACTCAATAAAGCAAACCTTAATGCACCATTGACAAAGTAGCATCGAATTAAAAAGCATTGGATCTTTTAATAGCTTAATACCAATCGAAGGGGGAAAACATATATTGTACCTTTGAATTGTTCAACGTAGCAGTATAAGCGAGCAGTATATATATGTTAATCCGTCTTTGAATTTTATACATCTCTAATACCAGTTACAGAAACACAAATTCGTTCTAGGTTTATCGTATAGATAGTAGTAATCCGTATATGGAAGCTCAAAAATCAATTTTTCCAGACTCCAAATCAAGTGATGATTCTCATGCCGAACCTTTTCTCTTGATTTTCGAACACTTGGAGTCGTTTAAAAAAAGTTTTTTCAACTTTTTATTTAAAATTCATTTTAGGTGACTTGGTACATCTTAATTCTATACCAAGTGGTGACTCCTATTTTTTCTTAAAAACCCTTTTTAAACTATTATTTTTGGGTCAAAATCGTCGTACTTTTTAAGTCCTATTTAAGCCCATTTCTCTTTATTTATTTCTAAAAATCAAAAACTCATTTTTAATCAAAATAAATCAAAATTTATTTTTATAAACTCGTAATTTTATTTATTTCAAAAAAGGGGCGCGACAATAACCCTCGTAGCATGATCTTTGGTTAGAACAAGGCTTATTTATTTCCAGGCTCCAAATCAAGTGATGATTCTTATGCCGACCATGACATGAGAAGTACGTAATTTACTTTTCCTCGTACTCCTCTTGATCATGTAGCTAGATAGGTATCCCCTGTCTGCTCCGGCCATTTTTTCACATTGACTGTTGACTAAAATCGAATGTTTTTTTCTGTGGTAATTGAAATTTACGCACGTTTTTCTTGATACACGTTGAATTTGAATGGGCACGAGCATGATATTTTGACCACAACAACATCGTTATTTCAGTTGATTGATACCCCCACTACCTTAGATGCATATCAATTCAAAGTACAAAAGAAATTCAACCTCTTGATTTTCAATAGATGCTTGTCTCATTTTGTGGATCATGGTGCATGTCAATTCTAGAGAGCTAATACTATTAGATGAAATATTGTTCACATCAATTAATGCTTTTTCTTCTAATATTGCTTAATCATTCGGCTACCATATCTCACCTTTTTTGCATCACCTATTGCTCACTCGTCATGTTAATGTGATTTTCATTTCAAGAAAACTAGGCAAGTCTAGTTAGGAATAATGTTTAATAATGTCTGAAATAATTAGTTAGGTACTATACCAAATATTGAACAATTAACATGTTACTAAATGCTTAATTGAAGCTGCCACATGCAAAGGAAATAGAACCCCAAAGAAAAAGTCATGAAATACACGATTTTCTATTCAACAAAACAGAACCTACTCCTCACTCATCATGTGTATATGATGTTCTTTTTCAAGAAATAGACAAGTAAAATCAACAATAATGTTTAAAATAATTATCAACAATTGATTGTGTGACAGTGAGAGATAAAATCTCTTAATTAATTTAAGCACACAAATAACAACGAAAGAAACAACAAAATCATCCACCAAGTAGTCAAGTACCATTCCCTATTCTCCACCATTTGCTTTCGAAACTCTAGGTGGATGCTTTTTAAGTGGATAGCGCCAACCGTTGACTGCTTCACAAATAAACTTTGGGGGAATACTCGTTTTTGTCCACTGAGAAGTTGTCCATTTATTTTACTCCAAAAACAAAAATAACCAAAACAAAAGCAAAAGCAAAAACAAAGTGGTCTGCCCATGATGCTTCCTCTCATACGTACTTGTCAAAAGGAGAACACTAGGACTGTCTATAAATAGTCATACCGATTGCATTCATTTCCCTCAGAACATAATTGGAAGATATTTATAGACTTATAGCAATTACTTTTGTCAAAGACAAAAAATCTTGCTCTTTGTTACAACAGAAGAGCTTCTTTTAGCTTTTTGGAAGAAGAATTTTATAGGAAAACTTTTGTATCTGACAATTTCAAATGGCTTCTATAGTTACCTTCGTGCCAAAGAACTTGCTAAAAGTTCTCAGCTCCGATCCTCATCGGATTCCGAGTATTGTTATGTAAGTTTGATCTTATCTAGTTTTACTTGTTGTCTGGAACATTATGATTTATGGTATTTTTCTCCATGCTAGATAAAGTTGCAATCGTGCATTATATTGTTTTTGTCCAACAGCTAAAATTTGTCTCGCACGCAGAAGTTTTGGCTGCATCAATAATATGCTGAATATGCTTGAAATGTGCCTAGATATATAGTTTTGTGACCTTGATCCGCCTTAACAAGGATGTTAAATTTTGTGGAAGCAATTACGAGAAGAATAAGTTTTGTATTCAAAGGCTCCAAAAAGCTTTTCTCCACAATGTATAACAAAAACCCTCTAGTTATTATTATTATTACTATTATTTTTAACCTTTCCACCCCTCTCCACAACCTTCTCACTTCTAACCGTTAGGTACAGAATCAAAATCCTGAATTTAACAGTAGTAAAAACTCTAAGAGCTCTCCCCTTGTACTTATTTGCTCTGTGGTCTTACATTTTTTTTTTTTTTCAGAAGATGCGCTTCTACATCACTTGCGCCAACCAAGCCACCGGTTAAAACCAACACTCCACAAACTAACGCGGCAACGGATTCAACCGATGAGAAAATGGATACCAATTATATTGGAGGGTCATTATTCACCAATTATATATGAAGGCCATTGAAGGCAGCAGAGTTGATCAAGACCATTTTTATATATTAGTCACCCATGATATCTAAAGTTGAAATAGCACTAGAAGAGATTAAAGATGATCCGTTCAGTGACTCTAAATAGGATTCTTTGTGGATTTTGTTAGTTTCAGAAATATCTTTAGTTAAAAGTGTTAAACAGCTCTTTCTTTCCCCCACCCAAAAAAAATATCTCCTGTAATATTGTCCAAGATTCTAAAAATACAATATATTTGATCTTATTAATTACTATATCACTAGGTCTTTCTCTTTTTTTCTTTTTATTCTGGGCTAGAATTATATCTCATTTTACTTCTCCTATTTAAGAATTTACTTGACAACATATCAATATGTGTGTGTGTGGTGTATGTGCGCGGGCGCACGTGTGTGTATTGTGTTCTTCTTTTGAAGAAGAACTTAATTTAATTGAAATCAAAGTGAGAAATCTACAAAATTAATTATGTATCCAAATGACTACCTTGCTAATTACCCGGAAGGACTGAGTAAGAAACGTGGATAACTGTGTTTAATTACTCGTCATGAGGGTTGATACAAGTTAATTAATTGAGTCAAAACTATGTGTCATTATTTCATCTTTACAATTTGAATTTTTGGTTTATTGGCAAAATCTGCCACAAACCTTTCAGAACGGATAGCCATGTCTGTGCCCTTTGTTCAGTGACAATAATCTGACAATAACAGGCCCTCACAATATCCTGAGGTACTTGGGCTAGACAATTCTTAGCATTAGCGATTTGCTGAGTCATTGTTGGTCAAATCTATTGGGCTTAGAGAAACAGTCTAACTCGCTAAGTATCTTAGATGGTTGGATAATTGTTGAAATCTATTCCTTGAAAGAAGCTTCTAACATAGCGACCTGGAGGGTTTAGGCTTGACATGGTGAATTAAGGAATCCTATAAACCACATGAACATTTCCTGTCAATAAGATGTGCTCATGTGGATTTCGGACACCACATGCTACCATCCCACTTTTAGTATTTTCCAACTTTTTATGATTGATGATTAGGGGCTTCTACAATAACAGTATGGATTGTAGGATGCAGTGAATGGTAGGAACAATTTGATGTGAAATTGAATGAATGCAATTGATTTTGCAGTACAGTGTTTAAAGAGTGCCAAATTTTGTTGTGTTAATATCTATATACGTGTTATGTTACTATCTGTATTATATCGTGCGATTGAAATTGGTGATTTCAAAAGCCCCTTATCCTCCACCTGTTAATTAGAGCTGTTAAACGAACCGAACTGTTCGGTAGTTCGATTCGTTTCGATATGTTCGTGTTCGTGAAAGACCCGTTCGAAATCTTAAACGAACCGAGTTTGAACGAATTTTTTTGTTCGATTAATAATCAAGCGAACATGAGCATGTTCGGGAGTTTTAACGAATGTTCGCGAATATGGACATAATTATCATTTGACAAATTTTAGGGTTAATTTTATGGCTAGACTTTTATATTTGGAGGGTTTTATTTGTTATTTTTATGTTAATGTTAGTTATATAGTTAATGAATAATAGAATTTAGTCACTTAGTACTTTAATTATTTTTTAGAATGATTAATGATTTGTATGGCATATTTAAGGCTTAAAATAATTTGGATTCGAGCATGTTCGCGAACTGCTTGTTTATGTTAAACGAGTCGAACACGAATTCAAATTTGAACATGAACTTTGCTTAACGAGCCGAATACGAACACAGATTTGGAATTCGAAAATTAACGAACGAACACGAACGTTATTCGAATCGCTTAATGAACAGAATTCAAACATGAGATACTCGATTCGATTCGACTCATTTACAGCTCTACTGTTAATGGAGCAGCTTCTTTCGGGGAACCTCCAAAATTTATCCACGTTTTCATGAGAACCTTAACAATTGCTCAACGAGCATGGTGGTCTTGACCATCTTTGCATGATCGCATCAACAATTCAGAGTTGATACCTCATAGTCTTGAGTGGAGGGTCAATATCAATATTGCCTTTTTTGGGCTGTAGGTAGTCACTGGTAATAAGCCCAGCCTTTTATGCTTACACCAGCCAAGAGCAACAAAAAAAGTAAGCTAAGCTTTTAATTAAATTGTCTGCCACATAGATATAATAGTAGTACTAAGTGCGTTGCTTATGTTCTACTAGTGAGACGGGCTAATATTTTCCCATATTAACTGTTTTTTATTGAGTGGATTTATTAGTATAGATCTATGTTATTATCTAATTCATGCAGATCATTAGAGAATTATCGTTTTTATTAAAGGTTGACAGTTATGAAATATATAGAATACATGATAACAATAATATATAGAATGCATGAGGGTGCTTATATAGAATGCATAAGCGTAAATTAGAAACTTATACAAGGTTATTTTGCATTTGAATTAGGATAATTAGAAAATTATAAAGTGAATCATTCCCAAAAAAGCATTAATCATTGTTGACACAAAAAAGAGGGGACCTGGCAAGTCAATTAAGCACTTAAACCATAGAACTTGGCATTGTTAAAATTAATCACCACATGTCATAGTAATAAAACCCATTTTTTAAAGTTACTAAAGCCAACAATGGTTTATTAATTGTTTCCTCAATAATTGTGCATTTACAGAACACTTAACAATTTTATTTGATGTCAAGCCAACAATAATTTATTAATTGTTTTCTCAATAATTGTGCATTTACAGAACATTTAACAATTTTATTTCATGTCACAGTAATAAGGCCATTTTTAAAGTCACTAAAGCTAACAATAATTTATCAATTCTTTCCTAGGTAATTTTGCATTTATAGGATACTTTAAAAGCAAATAATTAACCACAAAAATCAACTTTCAAAAGTTTCACTTTTTACACCACCAATTACCAATTCGATCAACATGTCCCGTAAATGCACCAAAACTATGCCTGCTTTAAACAAACAAAACAGGCAATTTGATGAAAATAGCCCCGACATCCAATAACAATTGCAGAATAACCACTTGACCAAAAAACACTGCTCACAGGGCAACTCTCCCTTTTATATTGTTAGATAATTGCAGGATAACCACTTGATCAAAAATGCCATTCATAGGGCAACTCTCCCTTTTGTATTATATATATAATTATATATATATATTTTTAAATTTAGATTACTTTAGTTTTTTAATGTAAGAGACAATCTAATTAATGTTACATGTTTGACTAAAAAAAAAATAGCACACCATATTGCTTTTCAATTTAGAGTCATTAAGAAAAATGAATGTGTTAAAAAAATTTATAGTAATTATATATATTAAATACGAATTTGTTAGTAAAATAACAAATTAATTCTTTTAAAAATGAAATAAGTTAACAATCTAGCTCACATACAAGACGGAAATAACTTTATGTCTATAGAATGGAAAAATAACAATAAAAATAAGGGCAACAAAAAATTTGTAATAATTATATGCATTTAATATGGATATATAGACTAATTTTTTTTTTATAATTGTACGTCTTAAATAGTAGAAGGATTATAAACCATTTTTAGTTCCAAATCTTGACACGTTAGCCAATTTTCGTCACCTGTGATGACAATGTTGGACTTCTATTTTTTATTCGGTTCAATTTTTGGGAATCATGCAATTAGAAGCTTCTTGTCAACAGGGTAGACAACCACTCCACCCAATGCAATGAGTAATAAATTGCACAGAAAGAGAGGCACACACAGAGCTTTTATTTACTGCCTCACATAGTAAACCACCAATTGGAAATAACCAAAACAGTCAATTGATGAAAATAGCCTCCACATCCAACAATAATTGTAGCATAACCACTTGACCAAAAAGTACTACTCATAACCCAACTCTCCCATTTTATATTGTTAGATATTATCTTTTATAAAAAGAAAATAAGCTCATAAATTAGCATACACATATAAATAGAATGAAAACTATAATAATAAAAATAAGGGTACTAAATTTTTTTTAATAATTATGCACACTAAATATAAATATATAGACTAATATATCTTTATAATTGTACATTTTAAAAAGCAGCAAAATTAGAAACTGTTTTTGGTTAAAACCTTTGACACTTTAAACTATTTCACTTACTTTTGATGAAAATGCCGGCCCTTTTTTTTTTTCCGTCCAACTCAATTTTTGGGAATTCCAGGGAAGACAGTCCGGAACATGGTTACATGCATAGTCACAGCTAGAGGTGTCAAAATGGGTGACTTGGGTGGGTTTGAGTTGGGTAAAATGGGTAATGGGTATAAGTAAATCAACTCATTTATACCAATTTAATTAGATGGGTATAAATGGGTAAGTCAAAAAATGAATTGGGTAACCCAATTACTCATTTATAACTCATTTATTTTAACTTTTTGTAAACTCATTTAAATTCATTTTTGCAAACTAAGTTATCAATTTATACCACTCTTTGTACCCATCATTAGTTTTAAATATTTATTTATAATGTTCAATAAACTTAATTACCAATTTTTTTTCATTTATACTCCATGTCACAAAATTACCTATTATTTAATAATTGAATAATAAGAATATAAAATTTTGAACTAAGTACTATAAAAATTAATATAAAAACTTAATCCAAAAATTTTGAACCCCTAACATTTTTTTCATATATAAATATAAAATTTCATTTTAGAAAGATAAGAAAATAGGCTAAAATTTATCATAAATTAGTAATGCTGAAAAATGAGCAAGTTAACAAATTAAGAGAAAATAAAATAATAAGATAAAACCAACATAATAATAATAATAATAATAATAATAATAATAATAATAATAATAATAATAATAATAATAATAATAATAATAATAAATAATAATAATAATAATAATAATAATAATAATAATAATAATAATAATAATAATAATAATAATAATAATAATAATAATAATAAAAATAATAATAATAATAATAATATAATATATAATAATAATAATAATAATAATAATAATAATAATAATAATAATAATAATAATAATAATAATAATAATAATAAATAATAATAATAATAATAATAATAATAATAATAATAATAATAATAATAATAATAATAATAATAATAATAATAATAATAATAATAATAATAATAATAATAATAATAATAATAATAATAATAATAATAATAATATAATAATAATTAATAATATAATAATAATAATAATAATAATAATAATAATAATAATAATAATAATGAAACAAAAGTAGTTAACATCATGACAAAATGAAAATTTTGAAAAAAAAATGGGTGGGGGAAAAAAAGAGACTTGGGGGGAAGAGAATTCTAAATGGGTTAATTGGGTTTAATGAGTTACCCAATAATGGGTATTATTGGGTAATCCATTTATACCCATATACAAAAATTTAAGTTACCCATACCCATCTATTCATGGGCGGGTATGGGTAAATTTAATTAAATGGGTTGATTTGCCACCTCTAGTCACAGCAATAGTTATTACATGAAAATTGAACACTGCATCCACTTTGCGTGCATTCTTTTCCAAACAAATTTATTTCACTATGCTAGCTGGGAGCCAAGAAAGCAGTGACTTGACAAAAATAGCCAAGAAATCCATGAACAATTACAGGATAATCGCTTGATAAAAAAAAACTATTCATTATCCAACTCTCCCTTTTATATTGTTAGATTTTGTACAATCATAACTGAGCAAAAATGAGTAATCTCAATTATTTATGTTAAATACAGCCTTTAATTATAAAGGGAGAAACAAGAAGAGCAGAACAAGCAAATCATGTCTCATGACA